CACTGTGCCCTCATTAGCAACAGATGAAAGTGGTTATGCATGCCCAGTGTTAAATGAACATATGTGTGTGTGTGTGTGTAGGAGATAGAAAGAGTGTGTGTGTGTGTGGTTGGTTGTGTGTGTGTGTGTGTGGTTGGTTGTGTATTGCCCTTTCCTAATGCCACACTAATCTCCTATCGGGTCAAAGAGAGCACATCTACTGTTATTCATCAGCGAGCAGCAGAGGGAAGGATGCAGGGATGAATGTGTACATGAGAGGAGGGAAAAAAGATAAAGAAAGGTAGAGGCAGTGAAAGCGATGGACGGATGAGTCGACATAAAGGAGACAAAGAAAAGACAGACATAGGATGAAAAGGAATGGTGATGGATGGTTGGATAGAGAAAGATGGAAAGGGAAGCAGAGAAGGAAAGCGAGGAATGGTTGTTAGAAAGAGAGGCAGGAGGGACAGGTACTATAACTACTGTACAAAGTAAACAATGAATACTTAACAAATTCATCACCACATTATTGTGAATATTAAACAGAAATAATACCAGTTTTGTATTTTTTTAATTATGTGCCAGTTGTGGCAATATATTTCAAAAGAAACCAGAGAGAATATACCTAAAAATATGTCACCAAACTAACTTATGGTCATATTACTTAAAGACCAGAAAGAAATTATTTTATAGATTAAAAACTTTGAAACCAAGCAGCATCGCAGGATTCAAACCATGGCTTCCATACAACACAGTTGGCAATTTGAGTGGGTGGGAAGCCAGTGAGGGATTGTGTGGTGAAGAAAAGAACCAGACTAGACATGATCCTGGTTGGTTGAGATGCCCATGCTTAAGGATTTGGGATCTGACTGATGTTAAGAATCTCTACCAAGCGGCAATTTCCATGGCTGGCAAATGAAGCCAGTACCAAAGTAACAAAAATCATCCATAAGCCCCCATATTAAACTTTACAGCAAAAATAAACCGCATGTTTACAGCCTGGTACAAAAAACTGTTTTGTTCTCTATAGCTAATTTCCTCTTCATGACAACTTAATTTTTATATAACTAACTTGTTTCAATTGTATCAAGCTTAAAGTTTTGCATATTTATGGAAATCACTGCTTTGAGTGACAGGTGGGTGCCGTAAGACCATTCAGCCCACCTCAGCTCCACGTCTTTGTCCATTTTTGGAGTAGCCCAGAGTCAGAACTACCAAGATATCGATGGCAAGAGCCGACCACACTGAGCTTCACAGCGCCTCTTCAGAAACCTGTGGGTGACGTCACGATGACTACATCCATTTTAAATTATATATGATTCTATATTCTAGTCTATGGTCCCCACATACCCTCAAAGGAGTCATTTAAAGTTAACAGTGTAAACATATATGTATTTCAGAGGAGAGAACTAGCCAAAAGACCATGTTATAGGTCGAAAAATATTCAGGAGTCATTAGGTACACCTTTTAATGTAATGATATATAATTGAATCAACACATGTCCATCATAACATGTATAACATGATGTTTGGCATCTAAAATAAGCAGAACATTGTGGTTGCGTAAAAAGGTTGTAGCCACGATATGTATATTGGTTCATACTCAGACTGTCACAATCATATAACTTCTACATGCAGTTTCTACTCAAATACAAATCTTACAAAATGAGTTTAGTGACTCAATGTCTGACCTGGATCTGGCTCTGAGAAACCACAGGGCTGTGGTTAAAATAAACAATCAGACAATCCTTGAACATTATAGGTTTAAAACGCACAGAGGCAATTCAACTGAAACCTTATAGCTGAAACTACGAGCGCTCATTCCTGAAACTCGACATCAAAACTCTTCCAATCCACTCCTAAAGTACAAATTCCAACTGAACTGGCCGGCCTGGTTTAATGAAAGCTGAAAAAAGAGAGAAAGAAAACAGCGAAGGAGCTCTCCGTTGAGCAGCTGCCGTCTCAGCAATGACTAATTGAGGTTACCACGGCAATATGGGACTGGGATGCCTGTCTGCTGAACATCATTTTAATCAGATTGGGCTGCTAAACACACATACATTCACAGAGACCCATACACTTACATGCACACTCACAAACAAGCAAATACATAAGGCAGATTGCATGTACACACATACAGACAAACAGGCACTTGGATGAACACATAAGTATATATTAACAAAAACTTTCACATTCACAAACACATAAGGGTTACTGTCAAATACACTCAACGCATGCACTTACGCACTCAGTGCAAATGAGGTTTAGAAACATTGTAAGTAAATGATAGCGGTGCCTAATTAGATTTAACAGTGTAAGTGGATCTGCACGGTTGTTTCTAATCCAAATATTTCTTTTTTTTTTCAGTTTGCGATAAAGTCAATGACCTGTAATTACTTCTGGGTTTGTATAAAAGTTGTATAAAAAAGCCAGTTTTTGGTTTTTAGGAAGTTCTTTTTTAGTCATGTTTATTTGTGTGTGTATATGCTCCTTCTGGGTGATTTGATTCTGGACTGACAGGAAATTGACGTCCCCTGTGGGTTTGGCAAACACAATGAGAGTAAGAGGGAGCGGCGGTTGAAATCTGCTACGGCTGTGTGTTTGTTTTTATTGAATTCTATAATGGGCTGGTTATAACTGATACACAGGGCCAACACGGCAAGAACCTGAAATACACACTTAAGTATGCACTCATACACACAAACACACACACAGATACAGATATGCTCCTTGTACAGCATCTACAAACATATATACTTAAAAACAAGATAAGATTTGTATTGAAGCCTGATATTGGCAAACATTAAACGCACACACACACAAACACACACATACACACAATCCCCTGCAGGTTAGGCATCAGATCGGACATGGAAGAACTGACCATTAGTCTTCCACTGCCACCTGGTGGAGCTTTGGTGTCACAGCATGTTCACAGCTCAGAGTGTGTGTGTGTGTGTGTAGGTGTGTGTGTGTGTGTGTCTGTGTGCACAATGTGCCAAAATAGGTGTGTGAGGTTCAAAAAATCCGATTGAGAATGTCTTCAGCTGTGTGCGCTGCTTGTTTGATTTAACACTTGAACAAATTTAAAAGGGGATGAAAGGCTTCCAAAACGAAAGCGGAGAAGCTTTAGAAGAGTAAAAGGAGTAGAGATGATTGTCGTTAGGGATCTGAAGGAGGGCAGAGGAGAGAAAAAAGAGGAGAGGGGATTATACCAGGAGAAATCAGGGGGTAAAAAGTGGAAAAAGAAAGAAAAGAAGATAAGGATTGGGAGATGTGTAAAAAGAGGAGAAAAAGCAAAGCGAGAGGGGGAATACAAAGTAAAGATGGGAGGGAAGTGTAGATAGAAAGCTAATCTCTGAGGCTAGCAGACCATCATTTTGCTTGGTTGCAGCAGGCCTGTTTGAGATCATTATTAAATTACAAGGCTGCTAATGGAAACCATGTATGTGTCTGTGTTGGGAGTACAGTGAAGTAGTATTTTACAAACCGCCAGCTAAATGCTGGACGAGATTGATGTCCAGAGGAACAGTACAATTGTTTTTGCCATTGTTGATTGCATACACGGCTTTGTTATGTTGCCTATGTCCATGTTCTTTGTAATAACCACTATTTCTGCTGTACATGTAAAGTCATGTATCATGAAAAAGTACAAAGCCTTAATAGGTTTATATGCACAGTTGTAATGTATCACTATTAACAGCTGGGAAGAAAATTTCTGTGTATGTATTCTTTCATATTCAGTTCCTCCTCTTCCCTGTTCCTCATTATTTTCATTTCTTTTTGATCCATCTCCATCCTTTTATTGTTCTGCTTCTGCTTCTATAACCCATTTCTCCATCTATTTAATCATTATTATCTCTTCTCCTTCCTCTGCTTCCACCACATCTGCTCTGTTCCCTGTTTTTCTCCCTTTGTATGGTCAGCATTTTCTATGAAAGTAACGCTGGCCCGCCTCCAGAACTCACAACCCTGCTCCATTGGCTATTAATGTAACATCACTGTAATCTGAACACTCTATAAACAGCTGTCAATCAAACCTAACTTGAGGCTCCTCAGCTAGTTAGCCAGTAAACGGCTGCATACAAAGGGATGTATTGTCTTGTTGGGATCTGTGTGAGTATGAAGCGGACCACCAACGGAAAGAGTGGCTTCACTTGTTCTTTTGTGTTTTTGATGTTTCTGCTCGTTTTCTCCGGGTTCAGGGGAGGAAGAACTTGGGTGAACGGAGGCACAGTCAACTTTACCACTCCGCCATCCACCTCGCTTTCCCGCTCTGTCTCTCACTCTCGCTCTCTCTCCCTCTTTCGGCCGTGCCAAACCACTGTCTCTATAGCTGTCTGTCTCCCCTCCAGCAAAAACCATTTAGTGGGGAATCTCAGACACACACATTCACACACAAAGACACACACACTTTCTTCCCAGGGTCAGACATGGTGCAAAAGGTCATGATCCCGGTTCACTGCAGTCTCCTCTTCAGTGGAAACATTTCTTTTCTAAAAAAACGATCAGAGCTCTAGTAAGAGAGCCTCTTTCTTTGACACAAGGGTCTAAACTGGTTTAGTCTGGCCATTAAATTGTATAAATTTAGTCTCGCCCCAAGGCTCCAGCCCATCATAAGCTACTCTGTGTGCTGCTAGGGGACCCATTGTGGGCCTCAACCCCCATGTTGGGGAACTATGGCCTAGATCAAGGGTACATTTAATCCCCATCCAAAAGAACACTGCATTGAGGATGTAATCAGTCTGTTTTATGTCTGAGAATAACATTTCAACACAGATTTCCCTAATTTCTTTTTCATTTGGTTTGGTCGATTTGCAAACACAACAAAACAAAGAAAAAAAAAATGTTTGAGTTGAAAATGTTTGGAGTCTGTTTTGTGTCTAGCATTTCCAATTTGCTCTATCATGTTTTTTCCTCCCTAATTCCCCTGTCTGGTGTAGAATTCAACAGTAATTTATCATAATAGGAACCATACTGAAAATCTCCTTCCTTTTTTCTGTGTGTGTGTGTTTGTTGCAGCGTGGAGTCGGTGAATGACGGGCTTTTCCACACGGTTGAGCTGTTGATTCAGAACCGTTCACTGAGCCTGGTGGTGGATAACGGTGCCCCCAAGAGTCTCGGCAAACTAGCCCGCCAGCCCTCCGTTGACCACAACACCCAACTTTACATAGGAGGTACACGCACGCATTTACACACATAAATCTATATGCATTTATAGACACATGTTCTGAACACGCAAATGCTGATTTTGTTGGCCCTTTACTTCCTTTTTGTGGTTGTGATTACATGTTTTCCATGCATGGGTACATACAAATACAGTCAGTTATAACATACAAATACACACACACACACACACACACACAAATCCCAGCAAGGGATGTGGTGAGGAGATCAACAACTGTTTTTGTTCAACTTTTCCTCAGAAAAAGGATCATGACAAGAGTCAGCCTTTTTTTCTCAACCATTAGAAAGAAACATAACGTTATTGTGCAATAGTGGGAGCTACAGTATGATGTTGTATTCCTGCTGGAACACTGTATAGGAATCAAACGAGAACGAAACATGAGATGTGTGAACAGTAATCAAACCTTTCAATTTGCTTTTTCCCTTATTTTCTTCCCACTCATACCATCCTTTTCTCAACTCTCATTTCCCTTTCTTCTCCTTCTTCTTTTTCCCACAACTTCCTGTCTTCTTCTCCTCGATTTTGCAGGCGTACCATCTCAGGTGGTGGCCTCAGGTCTGCGACCCGGCCCTGAGCGTTCCCCTCAGGCTTTTAATGGCTGCATCCACAACGTCCGAATCAACGGGGAGCCTCAAGACCTGAGTTACCGAGCCGCAGGTGGAACACAAACACAAGGGGTCGAGGGCAAGGTAATTGCGTTGGGAAGATTTTTTTTTCATCAAGCACTACATTTTCATAATATAGGCAACAGCAGAAAACCTTTTGACTGATCTGATAAAAAATCTGAGACAAACCCATGCTGGTGGCAGCTGTAGAAAAAGACCACATGTCGTGTCTCGATTTTCAAGCTATATTTACACCGGACTTCCAGTGTTGATGAAGGCCGTAGCATTCATGCAATATCACTATGTTTGTCAGCTATCACCTCTGCTCTTGTATCAATGTATCTCCTGACAGTATTTTCTCCCTTTTTTCTTTCTGTCACCAGGGTGATGCCATTCTTGCAGGGTGTCATTCTTGCAGTGTGTGTGCCCAGGGTGCGTGCAGGGCAGGAGGAGAGACGGGGGTGACGTGCGATTGTCCTCCAGGACGCAGCGGCACCCTGTGTGACCAGACGACGGCACCGAGCCCCTGTCAGAACAGCAGGTAAGCCGAGACAGCAGAGACTGGGCCGAAATGTGCGAATGTAACACTGCTGCTGCATTTACACTCTTTGAAGTCTTTGAATGCTTCTATCCATCAGCAACTATGCCAGTGTTGCTTCTCAAAATAGTGATCCCCTAAAAATGAATCATCAACAATTATGTTAATTAATAATTATAATAATTATGTTAATCAAGCCATTTATGCTGGGTAAAGGATGAATAAATGACTTGATGGTTATATCTTTTCAAAAAAATGGGGTGATCTTGGGCACTTAGCATTTTCTTTATTTTTTGCTATTATATAGATGAAATAATGAATAAATTATCCATATATTATTATAAAACTGTGCACACTTGAGCATCATTTTGACACATCTGCTATAATACGTTGAAAGCTCTTATTGGGTGCACTCAAATAAATTAGATTGATAAGGAAAAAAAGTGTGGATTTTTAAGCAGTTGTCTTAACCCTATGTCCAAAGCCTTTGATTATCCACATAGAAGCACTGTGTCCCTGGTTGAGCTCGTTACTATCAGTACAAAAAACTGTGGTTGTGCCAGTCTTAAAGCAATCACAAGTCAATTACACAACATACCCATCTCATCAAACCTGTCTACCCTCTCTCACTCCAGGTGTGCTCATGGTCTGTGTGTGCCGAAGGGTCAGTCCTACAGTTGCAAGTGCAGTGAAGGCTACCAGGGTCAGTACTGTGATCGACGGCAGGACCCTCCGGCTTGCAGGGGGCAGCGCTGCGGACACGGGGAGTGTCGTGTGTCAGAGGGAGGAGAGCCCACCTGCCACTGTCAGCCAGGGTACACTGGACCTACCTGTGACACAGGTAAAATGGAAACTATCAGAAGAGAAGATGGAAATCAAGAGAAAATGATCTCAAGATTTGTCAAACAAGGCATATAACATGTGTATGTTCTTTCTCCATTAATGTCTAGAAGTTACATGTCAAGGAGAGATGGTGAGGGAGCAGCTGAAGCGCCACCACCCGATGAGAACATGCACGTCCACCAGCAAGATTCCCCGTATGGATTGTCCCCGATCGTGCCAGCCTGCAGCGCCCACAGGTGTTTGTTGTGGCATCACCAAGAGCAGGAAGAGGAAGGTGGTTTTCCGCTGCACCGACGGCACCTCATACTCCGAGGAGATGGAGACCGCTCTGGAATGTGGCTGCTCCAAGTGCCCGTTGTAACAGCACCGCAGTTTGTTAGTTTGTTTTGCAACACCCACCGCTGCCATTTTGTGAATTCTACACGTCAATGAGGCTGTCGCTCTGAGGTTTTTCCACGTTGACGAGCACCACCATTATGTGATTAATTTTTTTTTCTACACATTCAGTTTGACCGCCAATTTGCTGCCAAGAGAAACCACAAACAAAAACAAAAATGGGACATGTGTGCGTGTTTTTTGACAGAGAGAAAATATATTGTAAGATATAAGTGAGAAAAAACATAGAACTTATTTTTATTATGGATTTTTTTTTCTAAAAGATGATAAAAGGACTGATAAGTTGTTTTTTTAATATGTTGATTATATATTGTGTTACATAGTATGAAAAGTTATTTTGTACCTTGTAAGGAGAAAAAATACACAGCAAAATAGATTAACATTCCTTAAAAGTATATGAATTTATATGTATGTATAAATCTATATAAATATATACCCTAACCCAATGAATTTTATATTTTCCAAGTGTATTTGCATGATGTTAATGTGAGTGCTGATGTGTGGGTGGGAGGCTTTGGACACTGAGAGAGGAGGGCTGAGAGAGAAGAGCTCCCTTGATTCCACAACAAGGAAAAGTTATGAGTCGTTTGTTGCCCTCTCTCTTGGAGAGAAAAGGGAACAGTATGTGCCTAGCTAACCTGCTTCACTATATAATGGACATCTTTCTCACATGTGAGTTCTTTGAGAAAACATAAAAGACTCTTTCCACAGAGATGATTTAACAGTTTGTTCTAATATTGTGTTATTCTTCAGTTTCCTGTTGCACACCAGACTTGGAGCCACATGAGGTTTGACATGAAAATCTGAAAGACTAAATGTTCGTTAAGAATAAGACATCATAAATCAGGAATTCCCATTCAAATACAGCAATAGTGGAATCTTACTGTAAATTCGGCTTCATGCTGAGTCTATACCTATAATCTGCTGACATTTAAAATTAGAAAACAGTTGCCAAGGCAACCCCAGATGCGTCATGAGAGCTTATGGTGTTAGTTCAGGTGGAAACAGGAAATTTAATCAAATCACCTATTCAGATAACAAGTAACTTAATGCCAGGCTGAAAAACAGTGTTTCACTGCCCTCTGTGCTTGTATGTTTCTACCGTGCATCACTGCTGGGTGTAGTTGGTTGTGGTCATAAATATGCTCTGTTGCACCTATAACAACCCCTAACAGTGATGTCACAGTGTACTGACACACCCTGGGGTGCACTTTTACATCACTGCAGCTAGGTGAGATGTTAAACCGCTGGATTAAAAACAGCTGGTTTAAGTTCTCTAAGTGGCTGCTCGACATGACTTAATTTTCTGACTGGGCAGGGAAGCCATTTTGAATAAAGCCATTATGCCAAAGTCAACTGTATTTGCCTTAACGGATAAGTATGTCAGAAATTACTGACTGAATTAATTTAAGTTCAAGTGCCTTGGTGTACTTCAAAAGTCAAAAACGTTGCTGTAATGTTGTCAACGGCTGCTACTGAATGTTTTTTATTTTGGATAAAGACGTTGTTGTGTCACACATGGCGGTTGACACCTGTCTCCATGACAACACAATCAAAAATTCTGTGGTGGCCTTCCTTAGTTCCCAAAGGGACTGATGCTTGCATTATATAAACACCCCTCTCTCCTAATTAGGTTGTGTGGGCAGGTCATGTGAAATGTATTGAAATAAAAAACAAAAAGAAAGAAGCCTTAATCACGCCACAGCCCTCTTGATATGAACTATGTGTTGTAGAAAGCATATATCCATAGCCTCATGTAAATGTGAAATTGCAGCATCAACAAGAACCTTTTTCTTCCTCTTACAGTGTTAATGTGTGATGCATTCAGTGTGTTAAACAATTTATAATGCAGGTCTGATCATTGCATAATGGTGCATATGGAAAGACACATATTTCCATGGAGCATGTACTTTGAAGTTTAAGGTGGAACTTTTTGATGATTTGTTAATGGTTTGAATTTCCACATTGACAGCGTGTGGTGGAGGTTTGAAAAAGGGGCTTGCAGTTATATACCAAAAGACAGAGTGCTTGAGTCTGATCACAGCAAACCTCCACATTAAGGACTGCTGCGTCAAAGTAGCTTCTGTAACTTTGTCATGAAAGAATAGGATTTGGACCAAGGTAGCACAACACAGCTGAGAAAAACTTTCCATAGATGACTAACATGATTAAAAGTATAACAAAAGACTATAATGTAACTACTACTGTATTGTTTACTTTATATATTGTTGCTTTGTTTACAACAGGTGCAAAGTATTATCACACTTTTTCAGTTTATTTACAGCTGGGTTTGAGACATATCAGTATTATCCTTGTGTTCTTCATACCTTTCCCCTCCCTCGCCTGCGTCTCGCTGCCTTTGTCCCGTCTTTGTCTAGATATCTCCTTTATTTTTCTGCAGCCATTAATTTTCACCATCTCTTCCCTCTTCTTTTTACTCAATTTCTCCCATTCCTATTTTCACAAAACTTCATCTTTAATCTGTTGCCCTCTTCTCTTTCCTCTCTATTCATCCCCTCGTTTCTTGATCAAAGGTTTAGTTCTTCATTGTGAACAGAATTGAACACCTTAGTCATTGATTATTGACAATAAAAATAACCATTAAGTCAGTCATTTCCATTTTCAAGGTTAAAATAACATAACTACAGTATGTGAGTGATGATAATTGATACTTATGTTGAATGTTAAAATTAAACTACCATTGAAACTATACTAATCTCTTTGTCTGAGTTCTTGAGAAATCTTTGACTGCAATTTTCAATTTGTGCAACATGTCCCACATCATTGGTCCCAGCTGTTTTGATCGAGTACCAATTTATTTTAGTCCCATATCCAGCTGTGCTGTACCCATAATATTTTGTAGATGCAGGTTTCAAGGACAGTTCTACACAAATGTTTGAGTAAAATATGTCCAATATGAGATGTTTTATGCTTTTTCCAATTTTTCTTCCCAGTGTGAGTAATAGGCAATCAAAACATTCCACAACCAATCATATTTATTGACTGAAAGTACTTTTTTGGATAAATTTTCAGTAATTTCCAACCAAATTAAGAAAAACAATACTATGACTAAAACTTTCTAATCTTATTTTCTTTTTCTAAAAAATAAACTCGGCTACTTGTTTTAGATGATTTAAACTTGCTTCCAATAACCATCCACTTATTTTACTTCATTTTTTCATTTATTCCATTTCTTCAATAAAGTGGACAAATTTGTCTTATTTTGTCATTCTATATACTGACATAATTATTTCAAAAATAATTATTTCCGGCGCCCGGTTAGCTCAGTCAGTAGAACTGGCGACCCATGTACTGAGGCTGAGCCCTTGCTGCAGCGGCCCTAGGTTTAAATCCGACCTGTGGCCCTTTGCTGTGTGTCATCCCCTCTCTCTCTGCCTCCCTTTCCTGTCTATCTTCAGCTGTCCCTATCAAATAAAGGCAATAAAAAGACCAAAAAAAACTTAAAAAAAAAAGAAACTGTCACGTAGAAAACTGTGCTGTAAAAGATTCAACTATCATCTGTGTAAGTTGGGCAGTGAAATGAAAAACTAATACTTTCTTATTATAATACTTTGTTATTGCTATTTTTTATTGATCCTTTAAAGCTCCTTTCCTCAAATGAGAGAAACAGCGCCCCTCTGGGTTGTTACAGTGTGGTCAAACATGTTATTGCAGCCTTACCGAAGTCTACCAGAAGGAAGCTAGGTGAAGTTGGCAGACTTTGATTAAAAACATCAATCAGTCAAACGCCGCCATTGTCTAGCTAATGTCAAAGCTAGCGGGCCCGTCTCTGGTAAAAGAAAGTCGTAAATTCAGTCATACTCTAGCCTCACAACAAACAGTAGAAAGTTTACCTTTACCAGAGGAGGTCTGTCAACTAACACAGAGAAAGACCATCACAGCAGCGGCACATGTTATGGATACTTCATTAAAGAAAGGAGAAAAGAGAAGGGTCTTTAAAGTCAACTCGAGTCATATAGCTTACACTCTGCATTTCTTTCTCTCTCATGGTTAACTTGTGGCTGTCTGTGTTGCTGCTGCTGTACAGGAGGCCACACTGTACCTTGGTAGCTCCGACATTGAAGCTGCTGTGTTGCACACAGTTGCAGGGTCGAAGCCAGAATGTGCTTTGAATGATTTGCAGTTTCTCCAGTTTTGCATTTACTGGTTGTTCAGTCACCTGTCTGTGTGATCTGTGATCCTGTGCAGTAGATCTGCTGCTAGCTGCTTGAGAACATTTCTTCCTTCCTGTTTTGTTTTTAAACTGTGTTGGAAGTAATGAATTATAAAAGAATGTAGAATATTCACTACTTTACGCATATAGATAAGGGTGTGTACTAATATTGATACATGCATTGATACCTTTTGATGTGAACACACCATCTTCTTGATCTGTTAATGTTTTTAGTGTTTAGAAATTTTACTGATATATTGTATTAAGTACTTCTATAGTATAGAATAGAATTCCCCATAGGTAAAATAGTTTCTGTGTTCAGCAGTTTCACAAAAGATAAAAACACACCACACAATGTACAATTAAAAGAAAAAAAGAAAAAGCTTCTGACAACAGCAACATACTGCACAACCCTCATGACCAACATCCTACACTACCTGTTGAGTTGAGTTGAGGAGCTTAATGGACATAGGCTGGAATGAATGTTTGTAAGGGTTTAGCCTGCTCTGGAGAACCCTGAATCGCCTACCAGAGAGCAGAAACTGGAACTCTGGGTGGAGAATGTGGGTTGGATCAGAAACTATTGTCTGTGCCGGTCTGATAATAGACTGCTCATAATTGTACAAAGGTACAAGTATTTTCAACCCCAATCATTTTTGCAATTTGTAATTTCAGCTGTATGGACAAGTTACCGTACCGGGCATCCCATATCTTATGATGCTCTCCAGGACTGCGTGGTAGAAGCAGTAACATGAAACCATCTGCTCAGTCTCTATCACATTCAAGACAAGATGGTTAGTATCGCAGCACTGCATGAATCTCTCTATTTCAGACAGGTAGACTGATGAAGCGCTGTCTCTGCGCATTAGTCCCAGGATGGCTGTATTGTCTGAGAACTTAATAATAAAGTTCTCAGGGTGGGTACTTGTATATTTATTTGTGTATAGTGTAAAGAGGACTGGGGAGCTGACACAGCACTGAGGGGCACCAGTGCTGATTAGTTTGGGCCCTGAGGGGGCACTGTTGACTGTGACCTGCTGAGTATGGTTGGCTAAAAAAGAAAAATACCATTTTATTATGTATTCAATGCTGAGCTAAAATCAATCAATAGTAAGCATTCATAAGCTTTAGGGTCTTCCAGGTGTTTAGTGACCAGATGTGTGATGGTATTAAAAGCATCATCTGTGCCAGAAGGTCTACTTATTCATCTCCCTCTTCCTGAAGCAGGGACACCATGATCCACCCAAATGTTCATTGACAATGAATGCCATTATTTATTATTATTCATAATTCTAGGTCTATGAATGCAAGCAGTTCCCACAGATGGGCACTAAAAGATTATCAGCCTCTCATTTTTGTGACGTTCAAGCATCAAACATCTGCTTCTCACCAGAAGATGGCAGCAGTGCATAGACAGAGAGGTGTAATGCATAAACCAGAGTTCACAAAATGTATCACAAGTAATTTGATTCAAGCTTTATTTACAAACAAGTATTCTATATATGTATATGAGCATAGAAGGACCAATGGGAATCAAAGTGTTACAGGACCACCATAAGTCTTCACTATTTCATTTTACTAATTGTATCCAAAATTAAAAGGAATGAGTCCCTGAATGATACAATAACTTAAGGGTTAAGTTCAGACCTCAATTTTTGAGCCATAGTTTGACACATACCTCGATTTTCTTTCTTTTATTAAATCAACTACATATGGTACATCAGGTAGGCTATGAGGCAGATTAACTTTAAAATAACCTCACATAAAAATAAATATAGCTGAGGAGCGGCCTATATTACCAAAATACATAAATATTTTCTCATTCGTCTTGTGCAGACAGCTAGAAGATTATAAGGAAAGAACACCATTGATGTGATGATGAACAGTGATGGAGTGAAGCTGAGCCCAAGAAATGTGTCACCAACAGGACATAAAAGAAAATCGGATAGAATACAGATAGAATATTTAATACATGCATTAAACATTATTACACATACAACACAGAAACAGCATTACTTAAACATGAAAGGTAAAGTCACTAGCACTTTTTATGGGCCTTCTACCACACCTCACAGTCTTCAGCATACTATTTGCTCATCCGAAAAAGCTAGTAAGTGACCTTCAGTTGAGATTATTTTGTCACTGCAGACTTAATCCATGTATAAGTCTTTGTCTCTCTACAGTATGTTGGCCTCACAGGAGCCAGGCTGCATTACCTGAAGTGTAACAATGAGTCTAACAGTTTTTCTAAACCAGGGGTAGAAAAAGGCATAGATCACAGGGTTTAGACAGGAGTTAAAATACATCAGAAAAATCATAAAGACCTCAGCTGTAGAGCCTATCAATATTTCCTTCCCAGTGAGAGACACACAGTAATATGGACAGTAACATAAGAGAAACACAGCCACAACAATACCAAGCGTCCTGGCTGCTTTCAGCTCAGACCTCTTAGCAGTTACAGTCCGTGAAGACCTGAGTGTGACGGCTGCGATGTGGGAGCGCATGGCCCGAGCTTGAGAGACTGCCACCACAAACACTCTCAAATACAAAATTATGATGGCAGATATGGGAATAATAAAACCTAAAACAAGGTCCACATCTCCTGCAATGTTAACCACACATTCTCCATAGCAAGAATTATACCTGCCTGGTTGTTTCAGGTGATCATATACCATGAAAACGATAACAAAAACACAGCCGATCCAACACAGACAAACACAGATTCGGACTCTCTTTAGAGTGACTTTGGTGGGGTAATGCAGAGGGTAACAGATAGCCACATAGCGGTCAACTGATATGAGCACCATGCTTGCCGTTGAGGCACTGATAATGATAAAGGGTAACAAGTAATACACAGCGCACATAAGGTCACCCAAGAACCAGCAGCTCTCCATCAAGAGGATTTCACCCGGCATCACCACGAGGCCCACAAGAAAGTCTGAGACAGCCAGAGAGAGGAGGATGAAGTTGGTGGCGGTGTGGAGCTGCCTGGAGTGAGAGAATATCATCACTATGAATATTAACACCAACAGTGTTTACACTAATAAGAATAATAATTGAAAAAAAGATTAATTGTAGTTAAAACCTCAATCTGAGGGCTAGATACAAAAACATCTATCGTCTATCCTAAAGCTGCTTCTTCTTTGTGAATATAACTATAACAGTATAACAGCACTGCTGAGGCGTGTATCTCTGCCTGAAATGGGAGATGGAGATGATGACCAACAGGTTGAGAG